TTTTAAGTGAGAAAGTCCACCTGAAAACTTAAGTCAACAGCAGCCTCTGGCCGGGTCGCCTCCTCGCGGTTCACCGCGGCAGCTGGTTGCTGTTTGTCATCAAAATAATCTAAACTGCAGGCACCAGGATACTAAAAGCGAACATATTCTGTCGGCAGGTTTCAGCATTTTAAGTTAATTTAGGCGTCAATAAACTGTTTCAGAGGAGCGATCACAGCGCTATGTCATCAGAGCGCTGTGCCTGTCTCGCTGTCAGCTCCCAGATCAGCTTCTCTGATTGGTTGATGCGGCTGCTTCAGCTGCTCAGACGCGCTGTGCCTGCTGCTCAAAACGCACTGCGGGACCTTTTGCTGCGCCTTGATGCACCTCAACCATTGACTTTGTATGTAAACTCGCTGCTTCTGCCACGCCTGCTGCGTCCGGTGTGAAAGCAGCATTACTTTGAACGGCCGGTTCACACCGATGTCGAGCGGTTGAAGTTCCTTAGTAAGACCTCCGGGAATATCAGCAAGCACAGCGTTCATTTGTTTCACCATGTTTTTCACATCGGCCGTGAGATGGGCACGCATGGAGTCACAGATTAACAGCGATGGTGATGAGTGGAAAAAACCACCTGGTCTCCTTACATACACCTCCCTCAGCCACTCCTCATCTCCTCATTGAGGAGATGAGGAGTTCTGCATAAAGCACATACCTGTTCTTTTATACACAATCCACGCCCACACTTCCCCCTTTAACGTTCTCATGGTGGTCTCAAACGTCCGCAGTAACAACACACATAGGGCACACCGCACTATAGGGGGCGCCGCACATTTTGAGGAAAAAAAAGACGTTTATATGCGCCTTATAGTCGCGAAAATACGGTAAGTAGCAAGAGCACGAAGAGACATACTGCTGAGAGCGACCCGTCAGTGTAGAGCGTGAAGCACAGACTCTGAGCTACGCTTGTGCAAAAGCGCATTTCTGCACAAGCACATCTGGAAGCACATCGCTTTTTAGAGTTCAGCGTGCAGTACTGGACCATTCCGGGTTATTTTCTCTCCTGCTGCTGCTGCCATGATCCATCTGTGGTCATGCAGAATGTCCAGCGCTTCATGGCAGGTGGGCAGCATAACCAAACAGGACACAGCAGCACGGCTGATACTGCTTGGCAGATTACAGCACAATGATGCATTTTAAATGTCTGACCAATCACTCACTAATTTTTTTTTTTTCTCGTCTCATTGACGAAAAGTCACACCTATGACCAGTCATGTTTTAGTCATCAAAGATCCATGTTTAGCTAATCAGTTTTTGTTATTGTCATTGTTAAAGGAAAGCTCTGTGTCTACACCTTGAAGCTTTCTCTCTCCAGTTCTTTTTTCCTGAAAAGAGATCACTCGGGACAAACTTTTTGAATAACACTTCATAACTTGTATTAAATAAACATGAGACATGACAACAGATTTTGATAGAATTTGTGTCTTTTTCAGATCGGGAGAAGTTACTTTGGGATACAGAAGGCAGCTACTTACAAACTGGGCTTACATGTACTTCTCAGGAAGTGGCCATGATTAACCATTAAAGAAGCATTGTATACAACTCTAGTCTGCCACATCATAACATTTTACATCCTACATGTTTACAGATGAGGAGACATCCATGGCTGCAGCCTTAATAAAATATTACACTTTGTTCTTAGCTGAAGGACTCCACTCTCATTCCATTCCCAAATCTTTGCCACATATAGAATGAAGATTATAACTGTATATAGCTGGAGCGAGGAACTGGCCTAATTAGACAAACTACTGGGGAAAACAACAATCGGCTAATATTAAGGTGTAATAAACTCACACATCATCAATGATAATTATCCCAACATCATCGTTGACGAAAACAACACTGGCAGTAATTCCACCTTTCAAGGCCGCATTAATCTGAAAAACATACTAGAAGGTCTTTCTCCTGCTGTTCAACACAAGGATTATTTTTTAAACTTCTTTTTTCTTACGTTCTTAAGAAAACTGTACACTGTTCCTTGTATTTACGTTCTTTGATTATCTTGAATCTAACCTCAAACAGGCTAATTCTGCTCCTCTCGGTTGAAGCTTATTTTACTATGAAAACTTAAACTAAAATACAGTGTGCTGAAGCATGGTTTTTGTTTGCTTCTCTTTGTGTCCTGTTTAATCAGCGTGTGTGACAGTGATTGTGTACTGGTGTTTGAGCAACATATCGGCCCTGACTTCCCCTGGAGCTGCTTCTCTCTCTTGGTGGAATATGACCATCCAGGCCAGTCCCCCTGGTTCACCGTCTGCAGTGAGAGGAGCATCAGACACCTTTCCTTCATCACTAGCTGCTCCAATGCTGGTCTGCTGCCATTGCAACAAAACCTATTCACCATCACATATGGACATTCTATTTTTCCTTTCCCCTCTAAATTTCTGTCTCTGTCTTTATAGATTCTGACAAAGTATTTTGGTCTCTGGAGGAAAAAGTCCCGTTTGTGTTGTTAGTGACTGAGGGGCTTCTGAGATCTCCTCTGCTGCTGCAAACACTTGAGTCAGGGTGAGCTTCATTTAGAGGTACTAAAAAAAACCATCTGCTTATCGCTGAATTCCTATTTCTAAACGACACCCTTCCTGGCTGATGCCAGTGCGGTAAATGTTGTAATAATTTATATGGAAGTCATGGCCAAGTAAAGATTTCTTTGGAAGGACACTGAGTCTCAGGTTGTTCCGAGTAATCCAATAAGCATTTTGACAGTAAATGCAGAAGTGGGAATGCAATCATATTGCATGATTCATTGTGAAAATAAATGCCTTTAATAGTGCACATAATTTCAGATAAAAACCATATGGAGTGAATTTTGTTCCATTGTTGTTCCAAGCAAATAACACATTATGTAAATTGAAAATTTAAAGAAAGGCAATCCAGAAATGAAACTTTGAAAAATCTTTTTAAAATTTTTCAAAATTTGTTTTTACATTTCTATTTGGGTTGGGATTTCCCTTCTAGTGAGGGGCAAAGACTTCCTCCATTATATTATGGTCCATGAGTTGTCATCATGAAACATTTGGGCTTGAAGTGAAAAGCATGGCATCTGTAAAAAGCAATGTGAAAAAAATATAATTTGTAAAACTCAATCTGAAAAATAGAAATTTCCATCCATTTTTTTGTCACGCTTTATCCCTGCTGGGGTTGCAAGGGGTGCTGGTGCCTATCTCCAGCTGTCCACAGGCAGGGTACACCCTGGACAGGTTGCCAGTCCATCGCAGGGCAACACAGAGACAAACAGAACAAACAGCCATTCATGCACACACACCTAAGGAGAATTTAGAGAAGGTAATTAACCTAACATTCATGATTTTGGACAACAAAATCTGAAAAAAAAAAAAAAAAAAATTAATGTAGAAAAAATTAGAAAAAAATTTAATGAAATCTGTAGAAACAGCACAGTTATTCTCAGAACCTTCTGTCTTGGAAATCAAAGCTATAAAATCCATGCAAAACCATGTAAGTCAGCCGCTGGAGCCATGAGAGCTCTTGGATCATGCAGCTGGGATTGCAGAGTCGAAGGGGGCTGGGTTTCTAAGCTTTCTAACCAATGATCATGTAAGCAGAGTTCTGTGCAGCTTGATGTTATCAGGCTTTTATATTTGTCACTTTTTAGCCATTAAAAAAATGTAATACTGAAAAAAAAATGGCTTTGGTTAGTGCTGCTTGTTTTCAGGTCCCATCTTGGAAACCTGGCCAGGGCTCTTCCTGCATGCAGTTTGCATGCTCTACCTGTGCACCCAGGGAAACATGTTATGGTATTTGGCCTCTAAATTCACCTTAGCTATGACTGTCTGTCTGCATACCTATATGTCCTACTTTGTTCTTTGATGGACTGGTTACCTGTTGAGAGTACACCACCTCTCACCCACTAATTTCTGGATATACTGTAGGTACCAACCCCCTGACAGTAGGTATCAATGATTGATGGATGGATTTCAATCAAAGTACAAAGACTTTGTAGGCTTAAATTTGAATCATAAATGTGTTTAGAGAATTTAAAGTGCATTGTTGCAGAGTTAAAAAAAATAGTAAAAAATGCATTGGATTAAAAAATATCTGCAAAAGAAAAAGATCCAGAAATTTATGCCAGAAGCACATAAAAATAGAAATATTATATAAATGAGTAAATCTAAAGAGAAAGCACATAAATGTGTAAGGAATATCCTTAGGATCATGTAACTGCAAAAAAATTATTATAAAATTTTATTCAGGAATAAGAGCAGGCCTAAAAGTGATATTCACGATTATGCTAAAATTGTTTTGCTTCAGTCTTATTGTTAATTAAATTTTTATAGATTACAGAGTACAACCAAGGCTTTAACATAAAGGGTGTGTCACTGATGAGCATACTGTGGTGTTCATAAAGTGTCCATCTGCGTTACAGCTTTGGTGTAACTGTGCTGGAAAGGAGTCTCTGTCCCACACTGCAAAAACTCGGAGGGATCCACAGTTATGCTGTGATCACAGTGGATGAAAGCACCGCCATCATCATACAGGTATCAGGACTCATCAAGCCTCTGATACAGGGGTGCCCAACCGGTCGATCGCGATCTACCAGTCGATCGCGGGCGGAGTTTCAGTCGGTCGCAAGAAGTTTTACAATGTAGACTTATTTATGGCTATGACAAAAAAAAAAAAGTTTTAAAAAACACTAATCGAATAATTGATCACGAGAGGCCAAAGTGTATTTTCATAATAATAAAATGAAAAATAAAAAGTATGCAGGGAACCTTTTTTTATGCATACTGTTTATTCTCCACCTGTGCAAATAAAAAACAAATACTGCCCATCCCTTGTGTTTGGCTTGGTAGATCTCGGCATGCCATCAACTTCAAAAGTAGATCTTGGTTTAAAAAAGGTTGGGCACCCCTACACTGGTACATTTAGCCTGATATAATTCAGTAGCACAGCAACGCCCCCTCTCAGACACTTAGATGGGTTTGGGACGTCACAGGCTCACAAAAGAAGCCAAACGACCCCCATTTCAAAGGGGTGGACCCATCCATCCGTTTCAGTTTGCATGTTTTCAAAACAAAAACAAGGCTCTGTTGGACTTGGACACAAAGTCCAGTGGGTTGTTTTTAATTTTCTTTTTTGGAAGTACCACAAATATGACCGTATTTACTCAAAGCTGAACTTTGAAACAGCTGAACTTTGGAGATCTATGATTCAATATCACAGGATTTATATAGTCACACTCTCACCCACAGACAATTATTAAACCTCCTGAGTTTATTGAAAATGGTGAAGAACTCTGTTGTGAATTATGATTTTAACCAATAAAGCAATCTCCCTATTGTATTCTCCTAGTTGCTGCTATGAGGATAAAGTTCCAATAAAAAAAAAAAAAAAAAAAAAAAAAAAAAGATTTAAATGAATTGACTGGCCAGTTAGTTCAAATCTGTCCTCACAGCCTAAATATTATATTTACTACCTGTTCTATGCAGTGGCCTGCAGTTCAGTGGGTTTTTGTGTGTCTGCAGGATCAGGATGAACTGGGTGATGATGGAGCCAGTGAGGGACTGGTGATAAGGCTGAGTGCTCTCTCTCTGCAATACAGCTGCTGTTGGCTAATCCTGCACTGCCCTGACAGTCAGAGTGGAGGGTCAGAGAAAACACAGACTTTATTAGGCTGATAAACAAAACCGCAAAGGTGGTGTTTTTTATATTTTCCTTGACACAGATCTTTTGGTGTTTAGTAAAGTGGCTTTGGTCACTAACTCTCCTGGCTCTCTGGAGGTGTTTCGTCTTTTCGTTGCTTCAATTACTGCATATTTTCAGATAATTATTTATGTCCCTTAAGTCATTAACTCTGAGCTATGAATCATTCACCCAAAGGTTTAACCATTATTAAGACTGCTTAATAAAGTAATTCATTTAAACAGAAGCTTTAGATCATGATACTAGCAGCTGGTCATAAAGATTATTTTTTTCATTAGTTTAAATTGATTTATGACAAAAACACAGAATATAAAACTGTTTGACACATACGTTTTTTCAAGAAAAACAAGTGGTTCCCATAGAGAGTAGAATTAAATCTTACATAAAGATCTTGAACCCCAGGCTCTGTGTCTGGTCTGTAGGTCAGCCCAGGAATTTCCACATGTACTCTTCTCTATGATCCAAGCAGACATTTTTTTATGTGCCACTATGGTCTGAAATAAAGCTGCAAAAGCTCAAAGAAAATATGGATTTGTAGATAAAAACTAAAGAAATTAGAAGTGGAGTAAAATTCTTGCACAGCAATACATTCTTTTACACATGTTGCACCTAAAGTGTGTGTGTTGGTGTGTTTGTGGAACTGCAGATTTTCAAGCAATGCCTTTAACAACTTGGTGTTGGTTTATTCGTCTCTGGTTCTGTTCGGCATGAAGTCAGAGGAACTGGAAGTGAAGGTAGAAACACAAATGTTTCCTGTTTTTTTAGTAAAACAAACAAATTGAAAGGGACACTACAATATATCTTATTTGTACTCCAACTGAAGCAGTTTGTGTTTGTAATCTCGCGTCCTACACAGTAATAACACAGCGCTTACCTGTTAGTTGTCTGCTCTGCTTTTCAGGTTCTGATTGTAACAGAAGTTTTGGAAATGGCCCAATTTATTAAGCAGATCTGCTTCAAGACGCTGATGTCTAAAGACGGGGATCCTCTGATATACCTGGACAGAAACTGGCTGACTGTGAGCCCATCTCAGGTGACATTAAACGTCGATCTGCTGTAGTTTGTTGTTCCACCTTCTCTGGAAAAACTTGTTTTTATAAAGGTTTATCTTTAGTCTCAGTTTCTCCCTCATTAGAGACATATATCATTGTAGTAGAAGCAGTACATATTCCCACAGTGGTTATTATTCAGTAATATTTTTCACACATCCAATGTTTTTGAATATTAAGTATCTTTGCAGCTGTGACTGATATGTGCGTCTTTGGGTTCAAATGTGAGGGAAAAATTACAAACAGAAACCATCAAAACCAAAATTTGATGATTTAACATGATTTATGTTGCTATAAAATATTTCTCTTTCATTTAGGAGGAGGAGTGTCTGTCTCAGTTTCCGTGCATAAACCCCCTGGTCAGTCAGCTCATGTTAAACCGAGCTCCATCCCTCCAGTGGCTCCTGGAGGCAGATCTGCATCAGCTGAAGAAGTTATTTCCTGAGGTTCCTCATAAAGTCCTTAAGGTGATTTATGCATTATGTTTTTGTTAACTCAGGTTTTCAGACTGGAATAAATACAGATTCCAGGTAGTGGTGGTAAAATAATATTTCTCAGTCTGAAATAGAAATCACCAAATTAACTCCTGTCTGACAGACGAGTTCTGAGATACTGTATTATTTAAAGTGTGGATTTATTACAATATTTACCCATAATGTTGCAAACCTATTATTTTCTATAGCACAATGTAGTTACACTGTAATCTGCTGTTGGATTTTACATAGATAGCCTAATTTAAATTCTTTATGAAGTCATTAATTCAAATTTACAAATTAGCTAATATATTAATTTATTAATCTTGTAATTCCTTAATTTACGCGGGGATTAAAAACTGCATACTGCCTTCAGATAAATAATGCTACAATGTGCTTCATAAGTGGTTCAGATCACTGGAGGCTGTTTCTTTTGTTTATAGTTGTTCAGTGACATCACCTCCTTATACTCAAGGAATGCAGAGCCTACAGCCCCTCAGCCAACCATTAACAAGTCAGAACAATGCAGTGCGTCTGTTCAAAGTCTTGAAATGGTTGATGCTGGGTTTGAGTTCATGAGCTGTCTGCATCCAGAGCCGTTCAGCTGCGACCAAAACAGCAGCTTCCTATGTGAACCAATGAAGACAGACGACCTGTTTCCCATCTTTAAGCCAGACTCTTCGGACTTTCATTTTGACCTGAGTGGTTCCTTTGGGAGCCCAGGTTTTGACCTCCAGAAAAGCTGGACCAGCAGAGATCCATGCAAGGAGGAAAATGAGTTCCCTATGTGGAGAGGTAGAGCTGGAGCAGCAGGCAGAGTGGTCAAAAGATTGAATGAAATGTGGACGCCAAGAGACTCCCCAAATAACATAGACACAGCTGAAAGCCCAGTGATCCAGGGCCCTTCGTTAGGTTACAGCCCCTTCCTGCTGCAGCCAGCCAGTGGTCAGGCACCCCCCCGTCCCGTAATCTGCACCAACCTCCAGCATCCTCAGAGCCAGCCCTTCAACTACAGTCAGCGCCCACCTGCAAGCATCATGTGGGATCAGAGCTACGATCTTATCTCTGGGAATGGAGGGACAGCAGCGTATTCCTCCTTTGGGCACAGGTTCTGGAAACGCGAGGAAAGGAAAAGGAGTGGAGATGCAGCTGGTCTGGTTGGACCAGGTGAGGGAAGCTCACATCGCATTTCTTTCGTTTTTCGTTACTTAAATAGGGATTTTTACACCGCATTTTTGCTTTGCAGTGCTGTCTCCACTGAAGAAGGGAAGGCTGAGCTATGAGAGGGTACCTGGGAGAAAAGATGGACAGACGAGGTTGAAACTGTTTTAATTTCAGTGTTCTGCTCTTTGTCTAGGTATTTTCTTAAGTTTCACTGTAATTTTTTTGTCTTCATAGATGTTTTGTGGCAGTGTTGTGTTTTGTGTTGCTCTCTGTTGCCCCCTTGTGCCAGTCTCCTTTCCCCTATCTTCTAGTTGCTTCCATCCACACCTGCTCCTCATCTGCTGATTAGCCCAGTCATTGTTCTGTCTCCAATTTATACTCCTGCTGTGCAGTTTCTCAGCGTTTCTTTGCTCCTCGTGTGTGTTTTCACTGACGTCTCCTGGTTTTTGGTTTTCTATATTTTGTTTTTGGACTTTGCTTCTGTTGCCTTGGATTTTCATTAATCAGCAAAAACTCATCTCTGCCTCCTTCTACTCTGCGTTTGGGTCCACAACCACATCCACCACCAGTTGACACTAATATTTAACAGGAGAATTTTAACATTTTAACCTACTTTATCCTGTTCCATGTATTAAAGTTTATCTATTCCTGTTTTCCTTCTTTAAAAAAAATGTCTAAAACTGAGTGAACTAATCTGGCTGTGATATAAAGCAGCTGATTGATATGTTATTGTGAGGTTAAGGCTTTTACAGAACTGTGCTCTCTTTAAAGGATTTAATAAACTGAGACAGTCTATTTAATCGCTTCAGTTATCTTGTAAATCCTTTTTTTAATCTGGGATAAATTATGAATGGACTTAATATCCTACTGTGAAACGGAGCATTGCCATATACTGCATAGGTTATATTAAAAAACAAATAATAAGAATTTTTTGATCAGTTTCAAAAATAAATTTAGATGGCTACAAGTTATTTTTTTTTTTTGCTTGCTCAGTAGTAGAAAAGAAGTGATTTATGGGCGGAGGACTGGGATTGAGGGCATTTCCCATCTCTGCTGATAAAGTCTCTGGTTTTAGCAGCTCCATTGGTGGGGCTTCTTTTTTATATATAATTTAGTGAAGCAATCCCCTTATCGTGCTCTCTCAGCATGTGAAGAGAGTGCTTATCTTCACGAGCCAGCAGACTGAAGCCAGTTCCCCCAGGAATGATCCCCAGACAAAGACAACCCTGGGGACACGGACTCCAAGCCTCCCTGACTCCGGCCAGCCGCCGAAGAGCCGACATCAATAACCCGACGGTGTCTTTTCTCTGCCTCGCTCCGGCCTGAGCGGCAGCGGTCAGACAAAGAGAGAGGAATGGGTTGTTTTTATTACTTTTCTCAGGAACAAAAGGAGCTGGTAGGGTGGTCAACGGAGGCTCTATTTGAGGGCGAGGTAAACAGCCGCCTAATGGTGCAGTAATGGTTCCTGAACATATTTGAGCACTGGACTGAATGGGCCGGCAGAGATAATGTGAGAACTAACAGGCTGTTTAAACCAAAGCATCTTTTAGACTGAGCTCTACTCCGGCTTCAGCTGTAAAGGTCACACTGTTGTTATCTCTCATCACAGACTGCATTTAAACCATCACCTGTGTGTTTTTCACTCTCCAGAATCAAGATTCACCAATTCGGTTTACAGATCAGAGAAAAATCAGACAAATAAACAGTTCTTGTGCAGAAACCTACAAATAAAAATCCCATTTTATGCTGAAACACCATCCAAAGCAACCATCTTTAAATGAATCCCTGACATTTAGGGTGAAAATAATTTTAGATGGATATTTAATTAATATTACAAATGGCATTATGTTGGACAATACAAATACAGATTTTTATATAGAGAATATTTGTATTTTTTAAACTGGAATTTATCAAGAAGTGATTGGATAATTATTTGACCACCAAGTTGCAACTGGATAAAGTCAACTTAGTCTTTAAAATACATTATTCTGGTGGTACTGTAACAAGTCTTTTTCTTCAATTAATGTTAGAATATTCAGATTTCTTCTGAGGGACTAACTTCAATCTGAACATATTATTTCCTCTTGTGACGATGCTGAAGTAAATGATTTGAAAGTCCTCCAGATAGCCTGTCTTTGTAGATGGATCCCTTCTCCAGCACACCTGAATTAAATGACCAGTGAGGGAATTAAGCCAGAGTTGGCAGAAAAGTGATACATGGTTGAACCCATTGTACAGCTGCCATTTAGATCTTTTATCTACCCTTTACTCTCAGATCCCAAAAATAAACAAATCCCAGTCTTAAGTTACTGCTTCATGAAATCATTCATTACTAAAAAGAGTCTGCCTTTGTGCAATTCATGTCAATACGATAAAAAAATTTTTTTTTTTAACAGTGTCCAGTCTGGCGATGTGGCAATGAGAATAATTGTCTTGATGCCAAAAAGAGCTCAACAGATTTTACTTTCACAAGTGGAGCAGTACGGCTATCACCATAGTGTTCCGCTTGATTTAAGCATATAAATTGCTTTATTATAATTCATGCAGAGCATTACAGATTTTATGGACACTGCAATGTAAGTAGAACTTTCGTGTTCTACTTACAGAAAAAAAGGATGCGTACTTCTTTTTAATGCCATTTTTTTCCATGTCACACTGATTGCGTATTGAGAGGCTAAGACTAGACAGGCTGGGCAGATCTGTGCAGGTTTTTTTCACTTCTGTCTCTGTGCTACACAGAAATTAAAACAATTTTTCACAATTGACTTGGACAGATACTTCTCTTGAATTTTTTCTTTTCGGGGAGAGTGATAAATTGTGGTTTCTGTTCCTCGTTGTTTTTGTGCGGCTCAAAGTGGATCACTACTTTATCCGTTTTTTTCCCTCCTGAACTCCTATTATGGGTTAAGTATTATACACTCAAAAGTTTCAATGATAGTTTTTGCACAAGTCTGTCCCGCATGCTGTGTATGCTCTGTGTGACTCCAAAAAGTGACTCCCCATGCAATTAACAGATTTTATTGTGTATTTTCCCCCAAAGCAGCTGCGTTTTACTTTGTAACCTCGTCTTTCTTCTTGTCAGATCCACTTAAAATACACTTGGGGTATCTCAGGCGGAGCTACGCAAGCCAGCTTGCTTAAAATCGTGTTGAATGTGATCATCCCCATTGCCTTTCAATGAGCACTAAATGCCATGTCCTCGTTTGACACCTTTTTCTCTCAGATCGGACGAAAACTCGGATTCGGTGTTTTGGTTTTAGGGTTGGCTCATTATGACTGGTTAATGACTCCAAATGTAAACCCTTGAACTTAACTCAAGACTTGGGAATCAGGAATTGTGACTAGACTTAAAAGCTGCAGCTTTTCAATTACCTCGGCTTTGCAAAGTCAGACGTTATCTCAGAGAATTGTTTCTTGCTTGCCTGAAAGTGACTGGTTATGGACACTTTAACAACAATAACCATGTTCTCCTCTGTGTTTTGTTCATATGAACAGTGTTGAAATATTTTGCCTCTTAACACTGACGTACGGCTGACTAAATGCCAAATAAATAAAAGAACTGGTAAGAAGTCAAAGTAAGAAACTTTTCCTTCTGTAGATCCAGGTAGAGGCTTTCATGAGCGGAGAGGTTACCCCAGCTTAAGTCTGTAACTCATAAAAATGACAAAAGTCACGGCTGCACAACTAAGCTGCTGGCCGGGCAAAGAGAAAATGAATCTGTGATGAAGCCCAAACTCCCATGGTAACGAAAGGACCTGTAGAGATCTGGACAGGACAGCTAGTAATGTTGCAGCCAAAAACAAAAATACATTTATGAGAGAGAGGCAAGAAGAAATCCATTGATTGACATTCATTATAACTCCGTTTAATGTCCCTCACAGGGTTTAGAGGAAATAAATGTGGGAAGAATGTCCGCTGGTTGGATAGGATCAAAGTTAGACTTTCAAGGTGTTGTGATGGACTAAATTAATAAGTTTTTCTGAGGAGGCCTTCCCCATCCCACGGTGCAGAACTGTATAAAATCTCCTTGAGGTTCCAAACATCTTAATACTTGAATACCTACGGAAATAAAGCCAACGCTACTAGAAGCCTTGGAATGGTCGACTCAGAGTTCATACCTAGATCCACAATAAAAGGGATGAAAACTTCAGTCTGGACATGCAAGGCTAGTAGAGAGGAGGCATACAGTGGTGATGTCAGCTAAAGGTGGATCTACAAAGTGTTGACTCACCTGAATACAAACGCTGGCCCACTTTGGGGATTTTAATTTGGATTTTTTTTTTCTTTCACTTCAAACCGATCCACCAGTCTATCTCATAAACTGCTAAACTGGACTTTAATTATTGTAATGGATAAAATGCTTAAATAAAAATGGCTTCCCTTAAAACAATTTTGGTCATGGACAGCATCACCGCTCTTTCTAAACCACCCAACTCCGAGTGCGTCTCCAGACCCAGAGTGGAGGCGGACAGCAGCAGAGAGCAGCGAGGCCCGACTTGCAGGTGCAGCCTCTTGGACGTGCAGCAGGGCCCATGAATGGCCGATTTAGAGAAACGGCCCCCATTGGGGTCCATTCTCCAGGCCCTGGGCTAATCCCGGAGCCTAATCGGATTATGTAAATTCCTACTCCACACACACAGTTTTCTGGAAGGCTGCGTCTTTGAAACAACACTTGAAGGGTGTAAAAAAAAAAGAAAAAAAAAAAGAAGACAGTGACAATTGGTTAAACTGGACTTGTTATTTTATGTCATTGGAGGTTGAAAGTGGCAGCCAGGGGTGTGTGTGTATGGGGGGGCGAGTGAGAAGTGTCTGCTGAGATAAGAGTCTGTGGCCCCCATGTTTCCTCTGTAATTTATGTGCGGCCCCTTGGAATCGCTCAACAAGATTACCATAGTCATAACAAAACACATATTGTTCGACTGTCAATCTGCATGTGGTATTTTTACCTTTTGTGGCCCAATCAGTGGGAATTTAAAAGCAGAGCTGCAGGTCTTTCCTCTTGGTCCAGGGGACGGTGGGCTGTCCATGTCTAATGTCAGAGGAACAGAAAGGAATAAGTGTCCATAACAGTAAAGGAACAGTCAGAACGTCTCAGTTTCACATCAATAGGACATTTCTTAACTTCAGAGGGATCATTTAGGGATTAATTTACCAGTGAATCATACAAGCAGCACAAACAATCTTCTAAAAGTTTTTTTTAGGTCAGAAAGCTGCAAAAAAAAGGAAAGATAATAAATCCATAATAAAAAGGCCTTATTTTAATAATTTTAAAAATGAAGCACAAAAGCATGAGAACATTAAAACCCTTCAAGAGTCGTGACCTCTGATGAGCAACATCAATAAGTCACATCGATTTATTTAAAATAATAGAAAGTGGGGGGGGGGGGGGGTTACTCTGCAACAATCACAATGAAGACAGGGGCTCCACGACGTCACACACTGGAGCTCGCCTTGCTATAAAATGCAGGATGCGAGCAGACAGCAGGCTCACCCCTGCTCCCTGCATCCCTCCCTGTCCGTGTCTTCTTTCCTCTCACTCCACCGGATCCTGGTGCGGATAAGGAGATTTAACTAAAGGAGACCCGGACACCCATGACCTGTGGAGGAGCACTCTGGCTTCTGAGATTTCTGCACATTTCTACACAAACAGGTCAGATATTTATTATTTTATTAAAGAAGTCCTCATGCTGCCACTTAAGTCAATGAGGAATTTATTAACAAGTGGGGAGAAAATATAGAAGAAGCATGTTCCTCCTCTATATAGGAGTCATTTATAGAAAGGGGGAAAAAAATCACTGAAGATAAATTTAATTTTTCATTCATTTCTTTGCAAAAAAACTAAAAATGTATTTCTTTATTGTTTCTGAATTAAAAAATAACGAATACATAATGAATATTGTAGCCTTATTACTCTTGTATAACATGTGTGCCTCATATTACCAAAACAATCAGGATTACATATTGCCTATAAAGCTTTACACAGTTGTCTGGTGCTGAACGAGACAAGAAAGTGTTGTTTAAAACGTAAAAATAAAATTTAATACAGACTTTTTTGATTAATTCTGTTTATTTATAACTAAGATCAGATGTAATGGTTTATAGTTCAAATTGAATGTGTCATTATTCTTAGGATGATATTTGTTGCAAACTAAATGAGTGAATTTTTAATTCAATTGAATATATTCAGATATTTTTGAAATAAATTTGATCTAAATGCACTTTACATGAAACACGGACATAATTCATTCTCTGTGATAGAAGGTAATTTATAAGGTAATTTATGCTGATGTAATCATAAGAACAAATAAACACTACAACAAAAGAAAAGTCTAATTCTGTTTTTAATGTCATGGGGTCAAAGGTCTTTTTTTTTTTTTTTTTATGAAGTGCAAAATTAAAAAAAATTAATTTAAAATAAACCCTCTAAATTTGAAGAAAATGTTTGCATAAAGTTTACAGACTTTAGAGGCCTGTAATTTTTCAGCTGATAGACTCACTTATATTTACCTGTCTTTTATTGTTCTCAGCATCATGACGAGGAAGGTGTTCACCAACACGAGGGAGCGCTGGCGCCAACACAATGTCAACACTGCCTTTGCAGAGCTCCGCAAGCTCATCCCCACCCATCCTCCTGAGAAGAAACTGAGCAAGAACGAGATCCTGCGCCTGGCGATGCGCTACATCAACTTCCTAGTGCAGCTGCTGGAGAGCCAGAGTGGCCAGCCGGCCAGCCACTCCTCCACCGCCCTGCTCACCTTCCTGAAAGGGAACATGGAGCGGCTGCACTCGCCTCCCCATCCCTGGACCACGACGAGTGACACCGAGGCTCCATCGCCGGGCTCCAGCTGTGAAAGCTCTGAGCCCTGGTAGAGCCACATCTGGACAGGAGAACAAGAAGAAAGAGCAGATTGTGTTGTGGACCCCAACATGGCTGATGAGAAGGGTGAAAAAGAGTTTGTTTTATGCATCAAAGTAAACCACATTCCCTTCATGTCTCCATGATATCATTCCTTGTTTTTTTGGAACCGATTTAAAAACAAAGGAAGCGGCATTCCATCTTTTCCTGATGAGGATAATGAAGGAATGGAGGATTATGGATTTTCTTATTCTGACGTAGAGTAATAAGAAACAGATAACAGCTCAGCCCCATCTTCAGGCAGAGTCTGACAACAGTCAAGAGCACTTTTTTATTATTTGTAGGGAAAATGCAGTTTGTTTTTCCTCTTAAAAACAACTAAACCTGATCTTTTGACTCATTTATTAAGGTTGGCTTCAGAGAAACCATTTTCTTTTTTTCTTCATAATTCAGAAGCTTATTTCTAATGTTTGGGTCAAACTGACAATCTAATTTCAGTGATTCCTTGCAGATACATTTTGTTTTGTTGGTTTTCTGTAAAACATGCATGTGATATGGCCAAAGATACTGAACAGGTTGTCAGCTGTGATGAGTGTGTTAATTATCTATCTTATGCCTCTTTACTAATTTATTTTGTTCTTCTTGTGAACGTCTTATTTATTTTACTATTTATTCAATAAAAAATTTGTAAATAATTAAATTTTTTGTGTATTTATGGGAGCCCCCTTACTTCCCTGTAGAGGGTCTTTTTGTTCACAAATTGTAAACCCAAATCTACCTTTGTCCCCAGTAGAAATTGTTACCTCTACATTAATGTTGAATTGAATATTGAACTGAATATTTGAGGCATGTCGACTGAAGACTTCTCACCATCTAGAAAAAGAAATAAATTCAGTTCGGAATATCCTGCTGACCCCTGGAAACATTAGGTCAATCCCTTTGAGCTCCATTCGGGATGAGGACAGGATTAATCCCAGGTTCATCAGACACTTCTGTCATAACTGCTTCCAGGAAATCAGTGTATAGATCCTGCTGACATTCACCCAGTCAGAACTTTATTTATCATTGCAAAGATGAGAACAAGACAATCGTAGCACACAGCTCGATATTCTGCCCTTTTCCGATCTAGAAAAGGTTTCTCTCACTGACTTAAAGCCTGAAAAACAAACTGTTAGTCGAAACAAGTTATAGACAGTTGAGGAGAATAGTAAATGTTGAATTAAGGAGTCTGACTTGTTATGGGAATAATTATTTTCTGTCCCAAACAAATAGTAAACAACTGCTCTGAATCATACATTGTGCCCTTGCAGGTGTAAAGACTTGAGTGAACATGTTTATAAAGTAAGTAAAAGCAAAATCAGCACTAATAAATCACTATATGTAAGGGGAATTAAAAGGAAATGTAATTTTTCCACCACAGAAACATCTAAGATAATGTTGGTAGTTTTCTTAACAAAATTCAACACTTTTCCAGATCATTTTCAGATTTTTTTTCTGAGCTGCCAAATTGACTTTCTCAATTCCATTTTGATGTAGTGAAAAAATGGATTCAGATCTTTAAAGTATAGTTTAAGGTCATTCCTCTGCAACCAGTTCTGGAAAAGACTCTACTAAAGTGAAAACGGATTCTCCACCCCTCTGCTTAGAAATTGTTAGTAAGGCTTGACAAAAATATCAGTCGGGTTTTGGTTATTTAACCACATTAAGAATCACAGATGAAGTTTAACTTCAAGTATTTGTACAGTTCAGTAGAAATTCAGTAGAAACTTAGTTAAAATGTTAGAACTGTAAATATAAAGTAAAATATGTTTATATTACTGTTTTTATGTATTTTTTTATGTTTTCAAGGCTGCACTTTAAAAAAATGAAATTGTCTGGAGAGCTGTTCTTACCGAAATGTCTTTTTGTTTACATTCGTGTACACAAAATGACAAAATAAATCTGTCTAACTCTAAATGGCTTTGTGTGTCTATACTGTCACTAAGTCAAAATAACAAAAACTGAAGAAACTAACTATTCATTTTCGTTTCCTTGTATGAACTTACAACATGTGATAATCCCAATGTGTTTTACACAGATAATCAGATCATAGTCATACTGGTAAAATGTTCTATCTAAGGAAAACCAGCTGATTACACTGCTGAGTCATTAACTTTGCTGGACGCGCCCCTCCTGGATGAGCATGTGTTGACAGTAGATATTTACTTGCATTGTATCGTTTCTGTAGATATTTCTGTGCCATTTTATTTAAAAAAGTCTAATTTATTTTCCTATTCAATTATTTCGCGTATTGAGGCAGTCGTAAAACAAATCGTAAAAGCAATTCTAAAATCTTAAAACAGCAAAGGAACCCTGTAATAGTAAAATCTTCTTTTTAAACAGGAGATGTACAATGAATTTATTTTTTACGTATGGGCTGGTTATACCCCCCGCAGCAGTGTGTTGCAGTGAGTTTGTCGCAGGTATGACGCAGACATTTATGAAATATGCTCAATTTTGAAGTGTGGTGTGCGCTGTTATTCCACGCCACAACGCGGAGGTACAATCATGAATTAGCTGTGGGTCTAGATACGGTTGAGGCGGTGAGGAAGTGGAGGCAAGTTTGTCCGACAACGGAGGGACATGAGGGCGAGCATCTGCGGAGGGGACGGGGACGTCTCTGTGTTCACCGCCACACCTACACAGACGACCTAGTTTCAAAGTATAAATCAGCCTTTATTTGTTATCAAGAACAAAATGAAAATGGGCATAATAAGATGATCATATATTTTTATGAAGTTTAGATGCAAATTCAAACTGGAAGACTCGTCCCAGCATCACCTGCATTTAGTCAGCTCACCATGCGCCTCTGCTCCGGCCAATCACTGTCAAGCTCTCATTCCTCTTCAGCCAGCCGTCCGGTAAGGGTCTGCTTAAAGCTGTCCATTCACAGACTGCCCTGGTATTCAGCTGAGCTTCAACCCATCTCCTCCATCATGCTCTCTAGCTCATTCTGGCTTCTTCTCCATCACCAGTGTCTGGATTCTGGGGGAAGACATATCTAATCTTAATCTCATAATGATCATCTAAACTCATCCCATTCGCAAATTCCATGTCTTCTGCCAGCGTCAGAGCACCAAAGAACAGTCAGATTCATTGATACATATCTCTAATTGCCACTCAAAGTGTTAAAAATGGATTGGGTTTATTTTAGAGTTTTTTGGGAGCTTGGGATACATTCAAAAAGGAAAAAATTGATCTTATTTCATAAAAATGGCCCAAGCCAAAAGAAAAAAAAGCACTTTAACTTCACACTAAGTGATTAGAGAAGCAGAGCTGCTGCTTCTTTGTACCAACAAAGCTAAGAGAGGTATGTTTGCAGCCGCTGAGATGACCATGTGGACACAAAGCTGACCTCTGCTCTTTGTCCGCTGACCAGAGGCCTGGGAGAGGAGCGGCTCAATGTGCCCGCTTAACTTGCAACCCCTGAGGTCAGAGGTTGCTCTGAAGTCAAACGCTGTCCAGCTGATCAATGTAAAGACAACATTGTTACAGGGAAGGTTTGGCAGGGCTGACATTATATATACTGACCCTGAATGAAGGAATTCATGGGATGATCAACACCATCCTCTTTGACACAAAGATTGATTCCCTTCAGTTTGAATATCTTAAAATGATCCATAAATAATGAGTAAAAGTGAAAAGCTTTTATTCCAATTATATCTTTCACATTCATTAAGCCCTAGACTTTTCCATGAGCCTTTTACAGAATTGCCAAGACATGTTTGCAATAAAACAAACAAAGGACTGCTAAAACTAACATTTGTAATTGAGAGTACCTAATCTCTCTTTCTGAAACATTGTTTGCAGACTTTACGGCTAACAGCAGACGTGTTCACAGTTGTCTTCTTTCAGGTTTATTGAAGCCGTTGTTGGACATTTAAATGCTTAAATGTCTGTATTGACCCTGTGTCCCATCATTGGGCTAAAGATTGTTCCTCACTGAGCTGAAGAGTAAACAGTGATCTGACTCAGGGAGCTTTAAACAAGGGCGTTAAACTCTGACTAAAGGGGTGTAAACGAAGCCGAGTGCAGCTGGAAGCCTGTGGGAAATGACAGGTGACTCTTTGTAATGATGCTCAAAATAAAATCATGTAGCGCTCAGAGGATACAGCCCAGGAGCTGTCAGATCAGCCCACAGAATGGGTTTAAGGAGTATTTGCTTTTTGTGTAATTTCACTGCACATTGATACATTTTAAGTAAATTAAAAAAAAAGAAATATCGGAAGAATTAGTTGATATGTCCTTTTTCTCTTAATTTTGTGCACAATGTTAGCAACTGCAACTCTGTGTAAGCCAAGAGGATTCGTGAGAAGTGGAATCCATTGGGAGCCAATATTAAATCAGAACTAGAGAGAAATGCTGTCATGGTAGAAAATGTTCTTCATTAAACGAAGCCAACAAATCATGTCTGAATGTCACTTTTTTTTCCGCAAAAGTAAAAAAACAGAAAATAATAACAAATCTGCATGCCTCTCACTCCCTCCTCCGAGTGCATTTTCCTGATTGACTATTCCGTCCCAAGCATGTGGGTAATCGTCTATTGAGAGCACATTTCCTTATCAGCGTCTAGCACGCTGTCTGAATCCGTTATCACAATGGAGCAGATCAGTGCAGGCAGCCCCTCTCTCTCCCGGCTGAGGCGCTCCATAAAAAGAGAATTTCTGGAGTTGGGTGCCAGCCGATAGGCCCTGAGCTCTTTATCCCCTTAAAGCCAATTCACCCTTTGCATGTTTAAATATCTCAGCTCAACCCCTGCCCTTCCTCTCCCATCACAGCACTCGAGCCCCCCTGCCTCCTCCCTCTCCTCCTCGTGCTCCTTCACCCCTCAGCGGCTGCAGAGGTCCAGGCCTAAACTGCTGCTGTAATCGACCTGCGATGTGGAAGCAGATGCAGGTGCAGAGCTGGATGGCTGCTGACAGAGGAGGGGAGTCCTCCATTGTTGGGCTGGACAGCACCCTCTCTCTTCTGGAGCACCCTCTGATAGAAAGAGGGGGTGCACATAGACAATCCCGTATCCTAATCTGATTATGCAAATGTCTACTTCAAAAGGCAACACTCTGTAACCCTCAGCAAGTGGTGGAAGACAGTCCAAGGAGGCATAGGAAGCAGAGGGAATGTTGGAAGTAAATGCATGGTAAATTCCTATAAAATTGAATGACAAGGAAACAAAAATGTAGATTTTACTACAGATATTTTTCCATTTACATTTCTACTCCTTCTTTCTACCAGGAGAAGGGTCCAGAGTAAAAAATAATTTGAACGGATTCACTCACTTAATTGAATCGAGCTGCTCCAGAATCCGGGGTTAAAAGGAAATCTAAAATGTTAATGAGGAGGGACAAAGTTCCAAGCTTCATATGCTGGGCACTTTGGGCTAATGCTCAAACAACCGAGAGGGACATTTTCCAAAGAAAATGGATTCTACGAAAATCAAACCACCTTTATAATCTAAGAGATGGACCCTTCCGCACCTCAGACATTTCTATAAATCAGCTTCTCATACCTACTGGTGCATATCTGTAGCTTTGGAGGGGAAAAAGGTTGAGACTACAACAACAGTTTCTAAGTGGCTGCAGTTTCAAACACAAAAGTTTATTATATTTATAGGTGCAGACCAATGCCCCTCATCTTCACTCAGATCATCAGCCAGTCCCTGGAGCTCTGGGAGCTTTCCTCCATCTTCAAATGCTCCACTATCAGCCACCGTTAGATGGCTGATAGTGGAGCTATCTGACCTGTAACAGTGACGAGTGAGTGGATTTGAAGCACATCACTTGCCACCTGCTGGACTATGCAGTCAAATTAGGATTACACCTCACCCTCTTCCTCTAAAACCATCTGATATATGCCAGGATCCTGTTTGTAGACTTCAGCTCAGCCTTTAACACCTTAGACCCAGGCATCCTCAACATTAACGATGAGTTGGCATACAGACAGAAAGGGCTTTGTTAACTCCGTGGAGCTACAACCCAATCAACACTGTAGGGTTGAGGGTGATCATTTTGATTGGCTGATTGGAGATGGATAGAGCTAAGTATGAGTCAATCCTGAAACATAACCCATCAGAAGCTGCTGAAGATTTGAGACTTAAACATACATTTACATTGATAAGGAGAATTCCTGCCTCAAGTGGAGGAGTTTAAGTATTGATCGAGGATCAGTGTGGCTGCTGCTATAACGCAGAGGATTCACAGGTCTGTTGTGGTCAAGAGAGATGAGTGAAAACACAACGCTCTTGTTTTATCACTAAGTCTACATTCTTACCCTCATCTATGGTCATGAAATCAGGATCATGACAAAAACGCAGTTACTACAATTAATATTGGGCTACGAAACTAGTCGCAATTAAAAACTAAATATTATCTATGCTAAAACAGACAAAAGCTTTAAATTGAAGAAAGTTTTTAATTTATTTAACTTGAGAAATGTAAGTAACCATTGTTAGCATCTTAAAGTAATATTTAATTCTGAAGTATAATACATTTTATCAAGAAAAACATCTTCTTCTTTTATAAAACTGAATATTCTGAGCAGGCAGGATTGTGTAAAAATGGACAAGCAAGACTGTAAACTATCAAAAATCTAAGACACAGCCAACTAAAAAAGAAAGTGCCAGGGTGTCCCTTTTATCAATACTTCGCTGCTATTACAGTTTTCTTTTTTTGATGACCCTTTGAGGCAGTTCAGCTATAAAAGCAGGTTTCATTTCTTTTATTGAGTATAAAAACAATGTTTAGATGAAATAGAATACAGTGAATAGTGTATTTACTGTCATAAACCAGGAAAGATGTACCCAGTATTTAAGGCAAGTTGGACAAGGGGAAGTTTCAACTCATTTAACAACAGAAAAATAATAAAACAGAACGGAACTCGGGCTGCTTAGGATAAGAGGAACGGAGAGGCTGCAGGAGGGGGACGGGGCACCGCCCAATCACTGACACTCTAGAGGGAGAAACACAGGTAAGTGACCATGAAATAGTTTAACAGTTCAGTCCATCCTCTCCGAGGAAGGCAGGATCCAGCCGATGGATAGCCAAACGAGATGCAGTCAAGAGCCGCCCAGAGTGTCCCCAATGCAGCAACGCCAGTGAGCAGGCAGGAGACTGATCCAGGTCAAACAAACAGTTCAGAACCGGACAGTTCCGAGATCCAGGAGCCCGAACAGGGGTTCCAATCCAAACAGGAACAAATGGAATCCAGGAATCCTTAGAGCGTTCAGGCAGGTTCAGAGTTCTATGAGTCCAGCAGCGAGCTCAGACAGACATGCTCAGATGGAGACAGGCAGGCTCAGTGTTAGAGAGGAACATAGACAAGACTTGGTACCAGGATAAATGCCGAACTTTAAACTGGGCTCCACCTTGGAGCCAGGCTTACGGGGATTAAAACTGACCTTCCCTGTATTCCGAGCCAAAACCCTGAGGGTTTCGTGGAGAAGGACCAGAACCTGTTCTCCCCCCGCACGCCGAGCCAAAACCCTGAGGACTCAGCAGACAAGAGCCGTGATATGACCAGGAGACAGGAGACAAAACCTATCAATCCACTGGCCTCCAAGACTATGAATAAGAATATGAACCAGGAACTTAACTCTCATGAAACAAATATAAATAACTGACACGAAAACATAACACGAATAAACAAAGAATAGACGAATAATTAATCTGGCCCCGATAGCTTGGCTGAACCATATATATAGCAGAGGAAGCAGGTGAATAAGATCAATGATAATTAGAGAGCGGGGAGGCAACCACAGGTGAATGAACTGAGTAATTAGATAAGCTACCGCTGCGATCATGACATTTACAGTCCAGCTTTAACGTGTGGAAATCAAGTTAGGTTCAAGTTACTTTTCATGTTTTGGATGTTGTTATCTCCACAAACTTAAGACCAATAGTGTCCCTAACACAGTTGAGATCAAACCTACGCCCTTGCCCAGGTCGCCTCCTCGAGGGTGATCCCACCAGGAACGTCCTACCAGAAGGAGGCCCAGGGGACGACCCAGGACACACTGGAAAGACTATGTCTCTTTGCTGGCTTTGAAACGCCTCAGGCTTCCCTCAGCAGGAGGAGGTGTCTGCAAAGAGGGAAGTCTGGGAGTTTGCACTGATGCCCCCACAACATGGTCCCAGATGAAGCAGGAGACGACAACAAGTGTGATATACATTTAGGAGTGGATTAGGTAAAGCTAGGGCCTGATGAAATTGTAAACATATTACTGTACCTAAATACTTTGAGGATAATATAGAAGTTATAGAAATTCAGTCAACTGAAGCAGAGAAACTTGCTCAAAAACATGGAAGGCAAAGTTACGTATTTATTTTCTGTTTTAGACCACATTCATTCTGAGTATGAACTCAGAAGTTACTATCTTACTTACAGTAGTAGTACTCTGATGTCCTAATACTTTTTAATGTTATGCTTTCACTTGTATTTTATTCTTTTTGTGAGTTTGATTCTATTTCTTTCAGATATTCTCGCCACAATGCACTGATCACATAAATATAATTGGTTGAATTATTGACAAAAGGTGATATTTACAGGAATAACTACAGTAAACTGATGAACAGGAAGTTGTATTAAAACTGGAATCTGGTAAAAACGAATCCACTACTTGGTTGAATGACTCAAAACTAATCACCATGGAAATCATTAAACAGAATGGTTACACATATACAGCCAACTTCCTTCTATGACACATTATTGTACAAACCCACAGATCTGAGGTCATCCTTTCCCAGTGATGCTGTCCGTGATCCCTGCAGCTTAAAGTATTTTACCCACGACAAAGGCTTCAGGTTGGTCTCTTACAGCTGAAATTCTACTTCTTCTTTTACATCAACATTTATACTACAATGGAGCTGCATCTGTTTGTCCTGCTGCTTCTTTATGCAGCAAACAGAACAAATGGAGGGAATATTTTGGTGTGGTATACCGATGGAAGTAACTGGATTAATATGAAGCCGATTCTGGAGACACTGGTCGCTAGAGGACATCAGGTGACAGTTTTAGCAACAAACGCATCTACGTTCATGAAGAGCACTGAACCCTCTGGATTCCAGTACGAACACTTTAACATCTCTGTCTCAATGGAATGGAAACGGAAGCTTAATGAGGAGTTCCTTCAGTTCTCCATGTACGATGTGGATCACATGAGCTACTATCAGATTTACAACAGATTTGTCAGTTTTATGAGGACTAACATGAGTTTTTTCCTGAAATTCTTGGATGGAGTGGTAAAATCAGAGCACATGATGGAGAAGCTGAAGAAGGGAAAGTACGACCTCCTTTTTGCTGATCCAATCTACCCTGGCAGTGACCTCATTGCTGATATTTTGGGGATCCCTCTTGTTTTTTCTTTGCGGTTTTCCTTAGCTCATAACTGGGAAAGGATGTGTGGTCAGCTACCTGCTCCACCTTCTTTTGTCCCTGGAGCTCTGAGCAAACTCACAGACAAGATGGACTTTTCAGAGAGATTGTGGAACGTTCTCTTCTACACTCTGCAGGATATCATTGTACATAACTTTATGTGGAAAGAACTGGATAAATACTATTCCAGCATCAAAGGTGAGTTTGTTCAGAATCCAAGATAACAATTATCACACTAACATCAGTTTTAAATAAGTTTGTAGAAATCATCTATGGGCATGTTTGGATCAGGTACACCTGTCAGTGCCTGTAAGATTATGGGTAAGACAGCCATCTGGCTTCTGAGAACCTACTGGGATTTTGATTTTCCTCGTCCATTTCTCCCCAACTTTAAATTTGTCGGAGGGATGCACTGCAGACCAGCTAAACCTTTGCCAAAGGTAGGAAAAACTATTACCCTGATATAAGTCCTGATGTAAATAAACAGAAAATGAAGATGTCACAATTCTGAGTAAAAAAAAGAAAACTGTTTGATGAATCACTGACTATGAAAAAAAATCCTGTTTTGGAGGATATGGAAAGATTCGTCCAAAGCTCTGGAGATGCTGGGATCGTGGTCTTTTCATTAGGATCTAAGGTCAAGAACCTGACCACAGAAATGACGACCATGATAGCGTCGGCCCTCGCTCACATTCCCCAAAAGGTCAGAAAATCTCCAAGAATCATCTCAGATTAACTTTAGTTAAAATATTCCCTTTAGATTATCAATGATCTCCAGAAACAACATGTCATATCCACCCCATCTAACTCTGGGTTCCCTTGTAAAATCCTTCTTTTAGTTAGAGTTATAATTAAACTACATGGTTGGCTATAAAAAAAAAAAAAAACAAATTAAAAAAATATATATATATCCTTGCATTTGATTCTTTGGATTTAGACCTCTGTGATTCCTGTTTAATGACATAGTTATTCTTTATTAGGTTCTTTGCCTATATTCAAAGCAGTGAATGCTCATGCATTAGTGCATCTGTCTAATCTTATGACATATTATCTTATAACATATTATTTCTTACTTACTGCTCCTAAATACACAATTTGATTAGATTAGATTAGATCAAGTAATTTAGTTTGTTGCCTTAAAGGTAGAAACACTTAAAGATCTATATTGCTAGTGTCCTTTAATTCCTATTTTATGATCTCATCCCAGGCAGCTTTTTGTAGTCATGTCATTTCATAGTGCATTATACATAAATGTTCATTATACTGGTTGTTTAACCAGTTTGTGTAGAGTACTAACTCACATTAGTAAAAAAGTTTTCCTGTTTTATGGTTGTAGGTGGTGTGGCGATACAGTGGAGAGAAACCGAAAACTCTGGGTTCAAACACAAGAATTTACGACTGGATTCCACAAAATGACCTGCTAGGTGAGGAACATTAAGTGTCAGCCTCCTTTTAGGAAAGCATGAAAGGAAATAAACGTCACACCAAACCACAATATATAACAAAAAGCTCTCAATTCAGGCAGACACTGACTTACTGTACTGCTGTTGTGGGTTTTTTTCATCATAGTTCACTGGATTGCCACTATGTACATACATTAAAACATCAGAGATACCTGTTTAGAAAACCTACATAGAGTCGTGATTTCTAATAACGACTTGGCTACTTTACTTTGGTTCCTATCAGGTCATCCAAAAACAAAAGCTTTCGTTACTCATGGCGGAACAAACGGGATATATGAGGCCATCTACCACGGCGTTCCCATGGTGGGGATCCCGTTGTTTGGTGACCAGCCAGACAACATGGTGCACATGGAGGCTAAAGGAGCTGCAGTTACAGTAAAACTAAACAAAATAACAGCCGAGAGCCTGAGAGATGCTGTCAGTACTGTCATCAATGATGTATCGTAAGTCTACATGATCTGTATTAATATAAAACGGCTGTAGTAAGATTAAACACCAATAGATGGCTCTGTTTCATCAATAGATTTTTCCAGCTATTCCAGCTTATTCTATAATAACTCTTTATAGTGAGAACTATAACAGCTAATCTTACCCTACTGAATGTGTTCCTTCATTTGTTTCAATTCTGCCCACAGCTTCAAAGAAAACATGAGGCGACTGTCAAAAATCCACCATGATAGACCCATTAATCCTCTGGACGAGGCGGTTTTCTGGATCGAATACACAGTGAGAAACAAAGGAGCAAAGCAGCTGAGGGCCCAGGCCCATGAGCTCACTTGGTTCCAGTATCACAGCCTGGATGTTCTAACATTCCTCCTCTCTGTGGTTCTGCTCCTCGTCTTCATATTCATTGGGAGCTGCAGCTTGTGTTTTCAAGGATGCAGCAAAAAGACAAAGAAAAAGGCTGAGTAAAGTAATTCAATAAAGATAAATCATTCTAGTGCATTACAGAAAAAAAAAAGAACGTTTCGATCTTTTGAGTTAAAACCCCCCGACCTTTAGAAATATGACACCAATTTCCTTCTGTAACAGCCCGAGTAAAGAGACAAGCTCAGTCGAAAAAAGTGCATGTTCTTTATTAAACAAAGATAATTTTCCTCTCTTTCTACAAGGCTGATGACTTAAGGTAGACAATATGATATTTACACTCTGACATTGGTGGATGGCGAACAAACCCGCATAACCAGAACAAGAAATTTCACACTTATATAAGACTTCACAGCAATCAGGTGAAAAACAGACAATGCACACAAGCCAGAGTACCCAGAGAGAACCCACACATGCTAAGGGAGAACGTGCAAAAAATGGAAAAAAGATAAGAAGAAAAAAAACAAACACTTAGTCTGCCCTTAGAAGTGAACAATGGGACCAAAGACACCAAACAGGGTCGGACTAACTAAAAAAAAAAAAAAAAACATAAACCTCAGGACAGCAGGAGCAAGAAAAACTATCTCTGTAAACAAACAGAAAACACCAAATTATAAAAAATGCAATCAATGTCTAGTTTTAATTACCTTAAAACAGCCTGGTCTAAAGAACCCACAGGGCCTCCTACTGTAACAAAGAAACAAATAATTAAATTGTGTATTTGTCCTTATAAAACTTCAATATAACCCGCCCTTTTTAAAAACACTCACCCACATTCTTGATAAATGTCTAACGTGTAGAACCAAGAGGCGTCCTGGCGTCTCACAGAAACTGACACCTTCCCAGAAATGCTCACAGCTTCCGCCTTTATACCGCCTGAACAGCGCCTACCATACCACCTGTAACATTTCTATGTCTGTTCATCTGCAAATGGTCTGTATTTAGCAACTAAATAACATTGCTTTAGTTCTAATCAACTTCCCAGACTTTGCAGTTCAAAAACATCACTACAGGAGCATCCTGCCACCACCATGCTTAGAGTTAATGCCCAATCTGTTATTCAACTTGTTAATACATTTATTTGTACTCTTATGCACAATTGCTTTCATACACGTAAAGTATTCATTAGTGTGATGTAAAAAAAACTGATTTTGTCATTTCCTCTCCTTTTGGTTTGCTGCAATAGAATAACATCTTTCAAGAGATCCTTGTTTTGTCACCCAGCCTTTTTATATAATCTATTGTATGTTGGGAGTTACTAGCAATTGTTCGTAACACAAAATTTTTTTATGTCTTTGTAAGCTTTGCCTTGCTACACTTCAAAATGGAAATAAGCTTAGGAATTTTTTTTAGGATTCATAATTGAGCTGCATTTGTTAACATTTTTAGTCATTCAAAAAAATTGTTTTGTTACACTACAACCATGGACTCCATATGTTTCATTTTTGATTAAACCAAGATGCATCAACACATGTATGACTTTAATTTCTGTGGTACAAACACATGTTGCTTTCAAATATATATATTTTTACCTGTCTCTTTAATGTATATTAAATAAATATTGTCAGAGTCTTTCTGCAAAGAGTTTGCATCTTCTCCCTGTGCATTAATGGTTTTTCTCCAGTGTTACCCTGTGACTTACTGGTGACCTGCCAAGAGTGTACCCCGCCTCTAACCAATAGACCGCAGGCACCATCCCCACCACAACTCTGATGGACTAAATGGGAAAAGATGGATGCATGTAATTATTGTAGTTTGTACATTTTATCTTATGAAAAAACGCTTGTCTGATTATGTTCATTATCATTTTAAATATAGAGAATACTATGAAAACAAACTAGATTTAATTTAAAAAATAAATAAATAAATTGAATTTATACATGTTTTGTTTAGTTCATTGTGTTAATCCTCTGCAGAAACCCTTTTCTTTCCTGGTTAAATTTACCGTGTTCCCTTAGCTTTCAGTGTTTGCTGAAACTTGGGTCAGTGGATAAAAACATCATTCATTGTACACCCTGAAACACTACAGACTCCATTAAATGGGATTAAGCCAATATTCAAATGTCTTATTGTTTCTTTGGACTTTGCTTTATTCAGCAGAGTAATCTGCATTTGGTCACAAAGGGGACAAACTGTCCACAGCAGAAGCTCTCAAAAGCTTTAACTGTGAAACAATCTGAAGTGACATTTCCCCATTAACATTGATTCCCAAAGACAAGTGTTTGCACCTCCCACCTCCTGAATATTCACAAACCACAGACACCTTTGAGCCACATCATCGTATCAGATGTCATCTGATATCTGCTGTTATTTCTCCACCAAATGTGCAAAGAAAGTTATTTTTATGGATTGAATTGTCTTCACTGAACATCTGACGAACCGCTGGGATTTCTGAAGCTTGTCTGGTGGCCAGTCCTTAAATCCAGATGCTCATCAATAAAAAAAAACTGTTCTAAGTCCCCTATTTGGAGAAAAAAAAGAGTGTTATAAAGGAAAAGCCTTTTAAAGTTTGATCAAAATTGTCTTTTATTTTTGATTTCTCTGCTAGCACCAGGTTGTCTCTAACGAAAACCATGTTTAGGCTGAGAGTAAACATTGAGTATAGTCAGTATCATGTGACATTCAGCCAAATATTGCTATTTAACTCATGCTATCACCAAACCTGCAGTCTTATGTGTTGGATATTGAAGGCCACCACTAGGATCACCATGTATTGGTGACTAATGTCTGGTGCTGATGGCATAACATAATATGGCGTAAAGCCAAATTAGTAGTGAGGGTGAACTGGGTCGTCCACATTTCCTTGACAGTCTATCATTATTTTCGTGCTGATGACTGGCTGGACTACTCATTTCATTCACCTGCCCAACTCCACCTAGTTTCTCTTTAACGTTCATCTATTCCACCTGCTCCTGCTTCTATTTAACCAGCTTGCTTCCATTCCTCAGTGGTGAGAGTGTTCTAGTGCTACCTTAGTGTTTCTGATTACCTGATCCTGACCTGTTCTGCCTCTCAACCACTGAGCCTGCTTGTTCCCATCTGATCTGATTGCCTGACCTCTTTTTGGACTCTTGCTGGATTCTGCATGTTTGCTGAACTTGGAGCTGTTTGCCGTCCTGGATTTCCCTTTTGGAACCTCTTTGAACTTCTGTTCTCCTGGTTCTGAATCCTGAGCCCGTCCTCAACTCCGGCTTTGGCTTTGCCTTCTGGATTATCCTGCATTCCTTCGTCTGTCCGGATTTGTTCTCCTGCTTGTTCTCTGTCCTCCAGGACTGCAGCCTCTGGCACTCTCTGGGCAGTGCCCGGAGCAACTTGTTGGCAGCCCACCGGCTGGCTCCTACCTTGTTCTCTGCACGGACTGGACCATTAAACCAGGTTAGTGACTCACACGTTTATAATCATCCTCCGTCAGATTAACATGGTCACTAACCTGTGTTTCTCTCCTGCAAAGGTTCTTGCCTAAGATGTCCTTGCTGTTATTGCAGATCCACTGTTCTGAGCCTTGACACTGTCATTAAACATCAGATATACGAGAAAGATTGTGGTTGTTTCCAGATCAGTTCCCTCAGAGCTGTTGCTTGTTGCTGACCGTGTTTGTGGGGTTCATTGATCTATGGGGCTCGTCTCTGCCTCAAGTGAGGTGGAGTTACTCAAAAAATTGTTCATAATTAATGGTATCATGAAGCTGAAGATGGATAGATAAATAAGTCATCATTTAAGGCAAAAATGGTTGTGATCTGTTGCAGATGCCAAATGGAAGGTTCTTGATTTAAAGATTCATGCGATTTCCAAACCTGACGTTTGTTCATTAGATATGGATCAAATCCATAGTTTTCCTGCTTCCCCTTTTTTTATTCCTTTGTTTTGTTTGTTTAGGAGAGGTTGAGTTGTAAAATATGACATTTAGCTTTCAGTGACACAGAAATGTGGATTAAAAACTTTCCAAGCTTTCAGAGTTCAGAGCTTAAACCTTTATAGGGCACTCATTGAAATACTTTGAAATAAAAAAAAAAAAATTAAGCCAAGAGTGTTCTAGGAGGACAGAAGAAGACATCATTACTTCTGTTGCATTTGAAAAAAAAAACATTTTCATGCCAAATATTGCGATTAATGAAATTACCAAAAACAGTCACTTGACCTGGTAAAAGGTATTCCAAACTGTGTTTCTATAAGAACAATCATGCAAAACACTTACAGAGTGAAATAAATACATGTTTTGTAGCAATATACAACTCAGAACATTAGTTTTAACATGTGCACTAAAATTAGTGTATTTTCAGTATTTGTACTTGGCTTATTATAGTTGCTTTTTAGAGTTTTTATTTAACTTATTAACTTTGTAATGTACTAGCTTTTTAACTTATTACCTTTTTAACATAATAACTTAACAACTTATTAACTTAATTTAAATTAATGCATACCAGGTAACATCCCACGACAGCAGGGAACATTACATTAATGATGGTAGTCTTTGAAGCAGTTACGCTCAGCTTTTAGACAGAGGTGGACCTTGCAGACCCCGCAGACACATTTGAACTCACAATGTTGCCTTTTAGCTGCAAAAATTGCAGGTCTGGTGTTTGGCATGGACAGGGACATGGAAGAGGGACAGATCCTTATTTGGGGTGTGGCTGCAGTGTCCTCGGACTGGAGGGGGACTATAGTCATTGGTGGTTAGATGGTGAGATGAAGATGATGAGCTTCTCAGGGATCTAGTGATGGGTGACCTTAGGCTACTGGCACTCATGAACACGTTGATTTTGAAATCTTTCAGAGACATCGCATTCACACCAAGGGCCTTGCACTTGTAGATCCAGGCATTTGAGAGGCTAAGATCAATGGTGTATGCGAACAATCGGAGGCACCTCCTCCTGGACTTCATGGGGGTATGGTAAAGGTGGACCAACATGTCAACCTGCAATGCCCCCCATGTTGGCATTGCAGGTTGCATGCATCGCTTAAGTGAGGGGCCCATCTCACTTAGGCCTTGAATGTCCAAGTTAAGGGTTGGTGGGACATAGTCTAGGCCTGACACATCGTCATCA